TAGTAGTAGTAGTAGTAGTAGTAGTAGTAGTAGTAGTAGTAGTAGTAAGTAGTAGTAGTAGCAGTAGCAGTAGCAGTAGCAGTAGTAGTAGTAGTCGTCGTGGTAGTGGTAGTCGTAGTAGTAGTAGTAGCTACTAGCAGTCGCAGTCGCAGTCGCAGTAGCAGTAGCAGTAGCAGTAGTAGTAGTAGTAGTAGTAGTAGTAGTAGTAGGAGTAGGAGTAGGAGTAGGTGTAGTAGTAGTCAGTGTAGTAGTAGTCATTTTCGTAGGGCAAAAACTTTTCCATTATTCCAACCCCCTAAACAACTCTTATTATTCACTTCCCTGGGCTCATGTACTACCCTCTTGAAAAATTGTTTGGAGCAATGAAATCGTTGAGAATTAAGCGTTTTCGAAAACGATTTCCAGGTCAGAATTCCATGAACCAAGCAAACCTCAGGAGAGTTCAGTAAGGTTTTAGAAGAGAGCAATAGCAGAACAATCGAAAAGTAAACAAAACCCAAAAAACACCCTGGGCCAAATATGTGTGTATTTGTTTGTTTTTTTTGACATATTGTGTCAATTGGTCAGGCTTTCCTGCTGGATGCAATTGTCGTACAGCCATTTTTGGCAGTGCAGTTTTCTTGACAAATGTTGACTCAAAAGAACACACATTTGCAAGACAACTGCACTGCCAGGAGTGCCCGGTGTGGGAATCATTGGGCGAACACGAGGTATCCCGCAGTCCGTGCCCACACCATTTAGCACGAGAGCACGAGACCAATGGAGGCAACAGCACTCTTGTGGCGTCGCTTGAGTGCCTAGCTGTGGCCAGAGGTTGTGCCTTTCTCTCGCAGAGTTTCAGCATAAATTGACCAGGTTTTTGTATCATTACATTACAGACTGTACTTTGTTTAGTATCTATGCAAGGTTTTGTTTGGACTGCTGTAGACGATTCACATCCTTGGCATCTTATTGGGGTATTTTAACCAAGTTGGACTGCATCATTTGGCGCTGTTTAAGCTTCGCTTGAAGTCACAGACGACAGAGAAGACGTCCTGAAGAACGGACTGACGATTCAGCTCGGACAGGGCCGAAAGCGGATGAAGCCTTTGCGGAAAGAAAGACACATGAAGCCTGCACTTCACATCCTTTATCAATGCGGATCATTGCCATCGCAACCCGGCCTCAACTCACAAGTAGAAATCAGGAAGTCGTTCGGTTTCCCACAAGCCCAGATGTTGGGTGAATCCGTTTATTGATCAGTTTGCTCCACCCTCGAGTTTGATCACTGTAGGACTGAGTCTTGGATGATCAGCAAGTGGCTCATCCTGAGAAGTCGCCAGTGAAATCGCCATCATGAATCGATCCAACACAGGGACGCAGGGAAACAGCTGTTCCCTGTTGCCATGGATCATCCAAGTCGTTCTCCCATTCTAACTAGGGAGGTCTCGTGGGCTGTTTTGGCCTGCAAAAGATGTCCGTGTCGCTGCGGATGGCTTTCCCCCCCAATCCGGATCCAGGCCTGGTCTTCGTGTGGAGCCCCTGGGGAGACCCAGGGCTCCACGGTCTCTAGTGGTCGGACAGTGGGGAAACAGAGGCACCTCCGACCGGAGAGGTCGCAGTTCTCACCGGTTTCACACAAGACAGACAAGGGACAGACCAAGTTGGACAAGACAGACAAGGGAAACTGATTCTGTGTGGTCACTGGGTAAACGCTGACATCTTTCAATGGGGGCCTTGCATTGCTTTGATGTTCTTTGTTGGATTGACTGTTTGTCAGATTGATTTCCTTCAATCTATGCATGTCTATGCTTGATGCGGGTATATATCCACAAGGAGTTTAGTATGTTTATATGTTGGGAAACTTGCAGACAGTGCAGACTTTGATCGCACATGTACCCAAGGTGGGTTTCTGAAAACTTGGATTCTGTTAGTGTGTGTGTGTGTGTCTGTTTGTTGGTGTCCCCTACATCAGAGGATGCAAAGGCAAGAGCTCTAGGTGTCAAGAGCTCTGTGTGTCGCGCGTCAGTCAAATGCGCTCAGCGCGCTCCTGTCACCATGGACATCGCTGAAGTACACTCCCTGAATTCATTCATCATGGAAGAGGATAGCACGCGAAATCGGAGGTACCTTTTAGGGAGTGTACCAGCGATGTTCATTTTGAGGAGTCCGAGTCGCAGCCCATGTGGTGGGTCCTTGCCCCACCGGGTCCGTCCAAAATCGGGTGCAGCGTGCACGAGTTGCACTGCTTGATGATGGCTTCAGTGAAGAAATACGCTCTACCCAAGGAAAGTCTTGAAGTCTCACAAAGGTGTCGGAACTTGTCCAGGGTACCTTCGAATCCTTGAAAATCTCTATGCAAAACCCCCCTAACATCCGACTCTCACAAGACAAAACATCTCAAGGTCCCAACGTTCCAGTGTTTGAGGAAGTCTGAGATCACCAAGTCGACTCAGGTTCCGATCCCCAAAACGATTCTCATCCTCAATCCTCGTCTTTTCGGCCAGCACATGTGCCGTGGAACTCATGGAACTCGCTTCGTCTGACGGGTCATGCGCTGGACGGTCGGGTCCCTCGGTGTCCTCTGGGCTGCTTGGGTCACTGCAGAGACGCCCAGCGAAGCGACGGAGCAGAGGCGCCTGCAGATCTTCGACCCTTTCGTAACATCCACTTTTCCAGTAGGTACTGGCAACTTGGGCAGTTTCGTTACCATTCTTTTGTGGTTCTGGCTGGGTGAAGAAATAATGTAAGGATTCTGAATCTTGTCCCATGTGGTCCCTTGCAAGTGAGGCATCACTGTGCATTTATCAGGCAGTAAAACAGCTTCTGGAGTTGACAGTGGACAGCTGGACCTGCTGGTGGGTGAAGTCCTTTTTGGACTCTCTTTGGATCTGCCCCTGGGCTACTACTTCAACGTTCATCAAGCGCGTGTGCGCAGCTCGACGTGAACCATGTAAAAGATTTTGAAAGATTGATTCTTTTGATTTGGACGCTTTTGAGAAACCTGTTGAATAGACAGATGATCCTCCCAAGACGGATGAATTGAAATGCAAGTTCTTCTTGTTTTTGTACTCTGAGGGTGAAAAAAAAAACGTGTGCGATGCAGCAAAGCGCAGGCATTGTTTTTGCTTATCTCACCCAAAACGAAGCGAGAAGTGGTGAATGTGCTCCCGATCAACTCGGGCCTGTGCCTTGGCAGCATCATTCCTGGGAGTTTGGGCAGTTGCTAAGGCCCAGCGGTATCCAGCGGTAACACGAATCCAGAGAACCTCCTTTTATAATGCAAGGCTCAGGAAGACCAGCTCCTACAGTATAGGGTTTTTTGAGTAGCTCGATGTCGAAAGAGTAAGACCGAAAAATCATCGGACTTCATCGGAGATCGTCACCGACATGGTTGAGACACACTGAAAAACTTATGACTTCGAAGCGTCTCAGCAGTGAACTTTGGTCATTTTGCTTCGATCGGCACTCCTTTACTTGGGTCTGGAAGTGAAGTCTGTACAGCAATACGACAGGGCTGATGGACTTGTCGTCCTGCACCACCCCACCAGGATCCCGAGGGAAGGGTCATGTAGCAACCCCTGCGCCCCTCATTCAATGTTGGCGTGATTGTTCTGCAGGATTTCGGACACTCAACTTGTTTGCTTTTTCACTGTGAGGTCCCAATGTAAAACTTATGAAGGAGAACGAGGGTGGCAAGAAAATGGTTCAGAAAAATCAGTGGGGGAATTTTCATCCATCACGAATACCACCTTGGGGAGGTCCAGCATTTGATCGCTGCTTCTCTCGGGGTCACCGGACTGGACAAGCCTGCACTTCTAGGTCTCGATTGGACACAAGAAAAAGGGGTCCAGCATCGATTGGTTACGAATACCACCCTGGACCCTGCACTTCTAGGTCTCCATGTTTTTGCCGGTCCGCTATTTTTTTCCCGCTGTTTTCGACACTGATCGACCGGCTGCTGAACGGGTCGAAAACAGCTCCGCCCAGGTGAGTGACCAAGTGGTCCAAGCTCCGCTCTCTTCGCGATATGGGGCCCCGGCAGAGCAAGGGCTCGGGACCTCCAGCTTGCAGGCGGGAAACCACTCAGGTGGATCCAGGACAGAAAGGACTCAACAGCAGTTGGAGTTACTGTTACTGTAGCTGGGAGCCAGTGGTTGTGGAAAAAGATCCGGTCAACTTGGATTCACTGGGCTTTGGGAAGACCAAGATTCAAGTTGATTGCTTGCACTTTGCCGGGCCCGAGCCTCAGATGTGGGACGCACCTTGTCGACGATGAAAAAAGGAGTTGGGCCCGTGGAGAGCACCAAAGGCAGCACTTGTCCTCCTTGAATAGAAAAGGATGTGAAGCTTGTCCCTGACCAAGTTAAGTCAGTATGTCCTCCATGCCGGTAGAGGAATGCAAATCCATTTGTGCGTGGCCATGCTCCAGTGATCCAAAAGCAGCACTAGTGGATTGAAAAAAAGGTTCAGGACTATTTGCGACTTCGATATAATTAATCATACAAATGAGATCAAATGAGTTTAATGAGTCAGGGAACAACATTTCGGGCTAGAACTCATGCAAGAGCCTGGTCTTTGGGCGCCTGAACAGGTAATGCTCTCGGGCGGTGCGACCTTCGTCCAAGACGGGGACTATCGCTTGTGTTTCAGCCACTTGACTGACTCTACCGAGCATGAATCCAGAGGAGATCTGGCAAAACTCAGGTTGCATCAGGCTTTGAACACCTGCAGAGGCGTGCTCGCCTCGTCCTGCTGCATTTGTATTGGGTGAGTCCAAGAAACTAAGTCCCTAACTAGAGTAGAAGGCAACGAGGCAGGCTGGCCCAGAAGAGATACGCGCAGCATGGCCAGGGCTTTTACTGTTTTCTTTCTGACTATATATACATTGACTACACCCTCTGACTGGTATGCGCTTTGAGACTGAACTCTCAGGGCTTTCTTTCTCTTTCTCTTTGACCTGGTGCCATGATCGTTTAAGACTCGATTGTTTCATTCCCGTCGAGGCCTGCAGTAGCTCTTCTTCACTTTCTCATTGCGTTCGCACTGCTTCCTGGAATTTCTCGCTGCCGCTGCACGACGGACTAAGGTGACGACGGTTCTTTTGCTTCTGGCCATGCAGAGTCTGATCTGAAAAGCGCACCGCATCGTTCGCGTCGGGGTAGCGCGGGCGAATGGGTCGTCGATGCAGTCGATGTAGTTGGCTTCGGCCCTCAGGTCATCAGACCTAAGACGGCAGTATTATGGCCTTGTTTATGGCCTGGCCTAGATCAATAGAGGGGATGCCTTGAAGTGAAGAACCAATAGGTATATGGTCCCACATCGGCCCCTCTATTATTCCAAAAAGGACATCAGTGGAGTTTATGGCCAGTTGTTCCAGATTGCTTTGCACATCTCTGAACTCGAGACCCGTCGGTTGGTATGGAGATTGTTCCAAATTCAGGGACCAACTCCCTCAAAAGACCGACTGTTGATTCAAAAACACCATATTGATCCATATTGGATTGTAATGCCTCTTCGTATGCGGAGGCTTTATTACTCAACTATATACATTGGAAATCATTGGAATGTTCGGAGAAGTCACTGAAGGAAGCTCGTTGAACTGCGCGTTGGATGGTTTTTTGTGTCGAGCCAGCCCTATGATTGTTTGGGGTCCCTTGGCTTCGAGAAGGGCCTCGCTCCCTGCGCTGAGAGCCGCACGCGCCCGCGAACGAGGATTTGCTGAACGTGCTCATCCGAGTCCAGGCCTATGTGACGAGTCGCCTCCCTGCGGGGAGTGGCTTGACGGTGTTCTTCGAGAACGGCCAGATGCAGAGTGCAGAGGATGGGGAGAGCATCATATTGAGTGGCTGGGAAGATGCGAGACGTATGGGTGTTGGGGTGATGTGGTGAACATCCAGCACCATCATGGATCATCATGTAAGATTGCAGTTGACATCCACAGGTAGACGAGTTTATAAGGGTCCTAATTTAAGATATTTACTGTATATTTATAGATATGGAGAACATCCTCAGAACAGACTTGTGTTCAACTTGTTCTTGGTGTTCGGTATTGTCCCTCGGCTCCACGGTTTGAAGGCTACCACGCTTTAGAGGAACTTTATATGAATTTATGTAACTTTATATGAATATGGACCAACTACAACTGGAAAGACTTGCATCACTGGCATCAGGCCCTCCTCTTCCCCTCGTCCTTCTTGGTCTTCAATGATCCAAGGTGCCGGGCAGCCGATCACGGGCATCTCCCTCCATTTGCCGCTCTTGTCCATCTTTGATGCCTCGAGCTTACGCTTGAAAGCCATCAACGCCTCCGTCACCAGGGACGAAGCCGTCGACGGCGCCTGTGCGGCGGGCAGTGCGTGGGAACTGCCGACCGAAGTGGTGGACGTCCCGCTGTCGGCCTCCTTGGGAGTCGAGACCTTGCACTCCCAGGCGGCCGAAGGGGGGAAGAGAGCGACAGGTTGGGGAGCTGACGTGGGGCTGGTGATAAGTGGAAGAAGAGTGATGCCACTGAGATGGTCAACATTATGGAAAAAGTAGCTCCTACATGCTCCTACCTTGAAGAACATCTTCTGGCTGGGAGAGGAAGTCTTCATTTTCCTATCCCTTTCTTAAGATATCCATATTTCCACAGGAAAGATGGTGGCTTTCCAAGTAAACATTTGGAGTGATTTGAGTGAGCGCTCTTTCTTAAAGCCTTACCGGTTCCAGCTCTCAGTTCTCACCGACCCAGCTCTTCTCTTTGACCCAAAACACCCACCTCTCCGGCGCCCCCAGGGCACGCGCTTCGCGAACACCTCCTTGTCGGTGCCCATCCACTTTAACTCAGCGGGGCAAGCCAGGCTTTGCTACTCCGATGACGGGAGTCTCGGAGGGACCAAAACACGTCCGAGATAGACATGGTTCACAAAATCTACACACGGAAGTTGGGCCCAAAACAAACGGGGTGTTTTCACACCTATATGATGGAATGTGTTTGTTTGCAGGATTCCAGCATGTTCCACCCGAAAAAAAAAAAAAACCTCAGTTGCTTCCAAGATCCCCAAAACACATCAGGTGCTTCGAGTGGAAGAATGCACAATAACCATGACCACATGTTGTGCAAAAAGTGCCGATTTGGTGTGCAAGGCAGATTGGAGAAACATTTTGTAGAATGGGAAGATGTACCGAGATATTTGATCGCCCTGCATGAGTGGCTCACAGTAAGAACTTTCTGAATTCGATGGCGGCCTTTAGCGCAGCTCCTTTTGAGAAGACACATTTGGCTAGAGGTATCATGGTGAGTCAATGCATGTTCGCCCTTACTACAGTATCCCTCGCTCGTAGCATCATCAGTGATGCTCAGGGAGTTGTATTGTAAAGCCATGACCGGCGAATAGGACACTCTCGGCAGGATCCATTGTGAAGAGGGTTGACATAATTTCGGTGTATAGTTATCATTACACCGACCTACATCCCATTGTTTTGCTCGTATGACAATTTTTGTTTTGACCCAGCGAGAGTATGAACCCTCATGGGTCGCCAAACAACCGAAATGTGTTTCGCACCGGTGGTTTAGCCTCCCCATTTGGCGTGATGGGCAAGGCTCCTCTTTTAAGCTAAGTTGAGGGAGGCATCTTAACAGCTAATTAACAAGTACAACTCCATGATTGTTTTGATCTTAACAAGCACACATCCATCGACTTTGAGCCAACCTAGATGCTTCAACGGCGATGCTTCAAACGCCCCGGAAGCGCACTGCGAACGCGGCCGTTCCGAACGGCGAACGGAACGGGCTCAGGAGCTTCTCGACGAACCACGTGGACCTCATCAGCGTCTTGATCACCGCGGAGGGGATCTTCAGCTCTTGCGAGGCGAGCCCCTTCGTAGCTCCGTAGTGGATCCCCCCTGATATCTCGGTTTTGGATCCAGCAAGCAAGCCTGAAGGATCATCATTTGGAAAGCCTGAAAGCGAGCTGGGTGCATAGATATTTATACATGATTTCCAGATGATGCAGAAGGTCTTCCATCAGCATCATGAACAGCTTTGGGTGCGTGTAGAGTCAGGTGTGCAGTTGGAATTAGCATCCTGCAAGTCCTCATGCGTTGTTGAGAGGACCAACTCTCAGTTGAATCCGTCCCTCCGTCATTGACGGCACGTAGGTGCACAGCGTCAAAGAGGTTCGGTTCGTTGCTTCGTTGGTTCTTTCGAGTCCGGGCGCTGCGCGGCGCGCGCGTTTGGCGCTGCTGGGACGACTCGTGCTGCGCCAGGTGGCAGGATGCCAAGCTGCACGGACCTTCCGCTGCTATGCGCTGCTGGGCATCTCTGCTGAGGTGGGCAGCTGCGTGTTGCCCATCGAGGGGGTCGGCTATAGCTCCAGTGGCTATGTCTCCTGGTCGGCTCAGGCACCGGGAGGGGAGAGTGAGGCGGGCAGTGAAGATCGGACACTCGCAGGTCCGGAAGTGCTACGCGCCATCCATAGCCAGTTCGACTGGGCCCCCGGTTTGTTTTCATGAAAAGCCGTTTGTTCTCCCGGTTTCACCGACAAAATCGGTGGGAGGATGTCTTTACATTCCTTTACGAAGTGTTCAACTGGGCCCTTGAGTTCATTTTCTCCTTCTGGTTGCTCAACGCCAACCGCTTTGCCGGTGAAACAGCATCGGTGTCCAGTACGACACTGCGGCAGGTGGATGCGCTCTACAGTGGGAATGGTGAGCCATTGCCCTTTGACGTGCCGCGTTGTGGACAATTCCCAGCCGAGCCTTGAAATGACAGGTGTCTTTTTGGGGGGGATTTCCCAAGGGGTGTTTTCATGATGTTTGAAAAAGGGGGTATCATGGATCCGTCCACTGAGCCTCAAAACTGCAACACCATTATCTGTGGAGCTTTTGGACGTGTGATTGGCTCCAGGCAACGGCAATTCACGGCAATTCATGGACACGAAGTCTCATGAGTTTGCGATTGCTTTTCATGGACACGAAGTCTCATGAGCTCTTCCTGTTTGGAGACACAACCATCCCGTGTAGTGACCACCACTGGTTGAAAGATGTTGAAAGAACGCACCACTGATGCTCAACACATCGTATTGCACGGATCTTTTCCCTTTCCAGCAGTATTTCTTCCTCCAACAGTACCTAGAGTCCCAAAGTACTTCAGAAAATGGGTACAAGTACCTGTTTAGCTGTTTTTATATAGGGTCATGTCCCATTTTCCAAGGTACTTTGGAGGGTCCAGGTAGTTCCTTCTTGGCATCCAATGGTCCTCCCTCAAGTGGCCGAAAGCGAAGCGAAAAGCCGAGGACGTGGCATCTAAGAGTGAAGTGCATCGACTGGGTGTGGTCTCCAGTGTACGATCTTCTTTGAGAAGTCGGTGTTGCAAAACACAACCTTTCCACCCCCCCCAACATAATTTCCTTCAGAGTTCCAGGAACGTCCAGTCGGATGCTGGGGGGGGAAATCAGGCGTCTGGACTGGACTTGACCCGTGTCGCCGGTTTCTCGTGACTCCCAGGATCCTGGCGCCTTCTGTGTGGGCGACTGTGCAGGTGCCGAATCAAAGCGGTTAGCTGTGCGTGTAAAACGACCAGCAGTACATAGCAGTATGCGGGCTACTTTGGGACGTGGCCAAGGCATGCCAAGGCTGTTGTCATCTTGGGTTCCGGTTTAATTTAGGAAGTACAACTTCGGTTTGAGCCCGATGATGCCATGACCGGGGTATGGCGGCCAGCTTCACTCCAGACCCCATCCAGTGGATCGAATTGATTTCAGGGCCATCCAAATGTTTGTCCCAAGAACCCCACGAAACTCCAGACCTTGTGCAACGCTTCGCTGATCGGAACCGAACAGCCCGAGGCAATCGTTCCTTTCCGCTGAGCTCCTCCAACAGCGTGACCATGCCGCCCAGCGGTCCGCTCACCGCGTCGCGAGACGCCCGCACCACGGCGGTGTGCTACTGCACGGACGTGGTGGGATGCCACTCCGGCGAAGAAAGGGGCGTGGCGGTGTCAACAGCTGGTACCCCAAAGACCACAGGCAACAAAAAGAACTACAGTACTGTAATGTACTGTATATACTTTCGTCTTGCTGTGTTCTTCCCGTCAGATGACCGACCTTCGATGTGCATGTCTTCTCACCGGGGCAGTGCCATGTTGGGGCAGTGCCAAGTTCGAAGCGTCCTTGCAGAAGGCCACAGAACCACCAGGGGCTTCCTGTTTGGCCCTGCGGGGGTCCTCCAAGGCGATCTTCCAACAGGGCAAAGCAACTTCTTCCAAGCGATTGGCCTCTTGGTGAGAATGATTGGGAAGTCCCATGATGAAGGATCTCGCTTCGCGATTGAGGCTCTGATTCGTCTTTCTGAGGGGTCGATGATTTGGGAGGGAGTTTGACAAGACAGCTTGGTTCTCCCATTCTTGTAGATCACGATTGTCTTGAAAAGGTATGAATGGGTGTCTATTGATCCTGCCTCAATGGACGTCCGACCCTGACAGATTCCATTTGGACTCTTCGGCTGAGGTCTTGTTCAACTGTTTACCGCTTCCGTGATGCCCATTGGAGAGTTTGCCTGCACGACCTCTTCCTCTGGGGTTTTGGCCTCTATCCCCTTTGGTGCTTGTGTCTTTTGCCCTCCAGGCAGGCTCCGGGTTCAGCGCAGCAGTGCAGCTTTGACCATACCGTCCGTCTCACCCCGAGGATTTCCTTTTCGCAACGCATCCATCCCCTCAGAAAAGCATGTAGTATTTCCATGCTGTTTGCTCTAAGAGGATCAAACGATGCCATTTGCATGGGTATTTGGGCCGTTTGTGTCTTAAACGATGCCATTTGCATGGATGAACCGATGAACCAGTTCACTTCCTCCACACGCTGCCAGGCGGCTGCCCCTTCGAAGGTGCTGCGCGGATCCTCTTTGCACGACAGCCGGAACCGTGGAACACCCAGACGTTACCCGCTTGGCACCCGCAACATCGCTGTCGCCATGCGGTACACGAGAGCTTCCTATTACCAGCAGCTGCAGAGGCGATTACCATGGGGGGGACCGGGTTGGATGGGGCAAGCAACAGATCTCTCTTGGTGAGCTCGTACTGGTAGCTTTGTCTTGGCTTGCTGCATCCAATCTCCCTGAAGCGCCCTCTTACTCATTGTTTCTCACGTGCTGCATATGGTCAGAGACTTGTGGTGTTGATTGCCGTTCCCACTGCCTTCCAATATTATCAAAGCCATTCAAAGCCTTCAAATTTCGACATATCCCATCCTCACATGAAGCAGAAAGCTCCTGTCTGTCCCTTCCTTCCACCCTGGTTTCAGGCATCCCAGTTGGATGGCGGTCCTCGCTCAGAGCTGAAGCGCTTCCGGCCCACCGAAGGCTACACACTGCCGAATTGGCCGACCTTTGTGCCTCGGGGGAACTGGCTGGACATTTGCTTCAACCCCGAAGCTTGGGCAAAGTCGGATGTGAAGCTTGGGCAAGGTGTCTTTTGGGCGAAGTTTCAGAATCTGAGGATGGATTCATATATGCCATGGAATCATATGGATCATGGTATGGCTCATATATGCCATAATGTCCGCCTCTCGCGCACAGGCGTTTATTTTTGGCGACGATTTTATACATAATTCCTCTAATGTTAAGGTTCCGAAGTCAACTCGCCTAGAGGGGACTTGCTAGAGTGAGTGGAACTTGGAACCGCACCAACCTTGAAATGCAGTCCGCATCTACCAGCAATATATATTATAGTATTATATAGTGTTTTTACCACAGGTGCGACTTTTTTGTCCTGGAACAGCCTTTCAGGGCAGAATGCAGGGTCGAAGCTGTGCAACAAATGTACGAGTGTTTCTGGTTTTAGTCATTTTGACCACGGGTTCGACATGTGATGTGCTGGGGTGCTGGGTTTAAAGGTGATTTGATGCTGTTGGGTTGTGGGTAAGAACCTACTGATATGGCCTTTGCCAATATTCTCATTCATTGATGTCTTTGTTTGGGCTTGAATCTCAATAGGACACCATCAAACCTACACTATGGGGACATGTGACATGAGCCCAACGAACATCGATGTGCACAAAAAATTGCGATCGGCCGTCTTTTTCCTTTGCCTCGGACATTGATGCATATGTGGCACACTTAGCCCCAAGGTGCTTTAGACATGTTTACCCGTTGGTTTCTCAGCCAGTCTGGAGAACAAGGGGTGCTCTGCCCTTGCCAATGCCATTGCTCGGCCCTTTGGATCTAAGGACATCAACAGTGATCCCAGCGGTTGGTTCAAGGTGGGCGAAGTGGCCGTCCTGGATGCCTCGTTGGCCTCTTCCTCCACGGTGCCGAGTCACAGCGCCTCGCCGCCCCCGAAGCAGGTGGGTCAAATGGGGCAGATCTCCATGTCCAGGCCGGGGCGGAGCTGGGTGTCACCATGTCACCAGCTCTCGACGTCGCGAAGCGAAACCACCGGAGGAGTGAATCCATCACTGGTGGTGGTTTGATGTGGCCGGGATGGGACCGGTGCCGATGGAGACACGAGCCCTGCGGGATGGCAAGGTGAGGCATTCTCAGCCCGAAGTGATCTCCGTTTTTCTACCTTTCATTACCATCATTCGGAGACTACTTCCCGACAGACCCGACACGAGAGGTCTTTGCTGCCCTACCGGAACCCTTCCAATGTGGTGGGCCTCAACGTGGGCGGTGGCATCCGCCTTGCAACCCTCGTCATCACCGAAGACAGCTCCACCAGTGCCTGGGCTTTTTTCGTGCGCCGCGCGGACACCGTCGAACGAGGGGAACGAGGACGGTGTGGTGAGTGGGAATACGACGGAACATCACAGGGTTCACCAGGGAGGTAAAGCAGGCGATACCGGTCGGTTTCTTCCGCAAAGTAGCAGACGAGCATGAGCTTTCTTGGAGCGGACCTGGGTTTGGCGAAGAGGAGCTTCTGCGATGTCTGAAGTTGGTTGCCTTTGCTGACAGGGTGAGGTGACTTTCGGATTTGGCAACCTTATGCGATTGGAAGATAGGAAGGATGTGTGTGCTGTGTGGCTTTTTCTCCAGAAAGTGAAGATTGACCGTCAAACGATGGATTGACATGCACATATTGCTCAGAGGCCCGAATCCGAACTCTGCTGCATTCAAGATCTTGGCCAAACCGTCATAAAAGGTTGGACAGAGTTGCATGATGTATTTTTTTTGTGGGACCTACTGGTTCTGAGCAAAGGCTTCCCTCTCAAACCCCAATTTGGGAGATTCTGTTGAAGACTTTTGGGACTCAACAATGAAGGAGATGACTCCGGAGCTAGAAGGTCTTGAGCTTCGAAGCGTTGAAGATATCAGGCAAATCAATGGGGACATCTGGCAAATTCTTGAGTTCAGAGCCCTCCGAAACACTTCTTTACTTACATACTTTTGACGGACAACATCTTACATAATCTACGCTTCCCATGGTATTATGGTTGACGAAAGAAATTCCGCAGGACCTTGAAATATAACTCATGCACCTGACACACCAGCAGCCACCCACCCCAATGTTGTTGGGTCATGGGTCATGCAGGCAAGTGGAGCAGGATTTTGGCAAATGGGACCTTTGCAGTTTTTGATGCCGGATGCAACCAAGGTTAAAGAGGGAGCGTGAGGATATGAGGTTCTCATCCTAAAGTGGTGGATTTCTTCTGTCGACAGTAGTGTCACATGAATTTTAGGGATGGTTCATCCACAGTATGATTCTCTCTCTCTCTCTCTAAGTATTGAACCAAAGAATTGACACTCCTGCTTGTCAGTCTTTACCCCCCTTGGCTTGTGAGTCGCCAAGGAGAAGCCTGCCAGAAGAGTCGCCCCACAGAGGTCAACGGGCTCACGCGTGCGGACGCGAGCGCCTATGGAGGCACCGTCCGCGGAGAGCGCGTGGTCTTCGACGGAGGGGAAGTGGGAAAGAGCATCTCCTTCCCCACCGTGGCGACGGTGGTGGTTTGCTACTGCCCCAACTTGGGCGCCTGAGATGGAGTGAGTTGGTGAGGAAGGGCAGATCGGATACAGGTGCAGGGTGAGGGTTCAATGATGTTCAAGATATACAGAGATGATGCCTTTGATGAAAAGGGGGCGAAACTCTCATAACAATTATGTAAGAAGGGGTATTCAAAACACACAATGATGTCAGACTGATTGGTCGGGGTGTGCTGCACTCGCACCTGTGCAATTCCGTGCGGTTGTGGGCCTTCTTAATAAAGAGTCAAGTCCTTTAACAGCCACCCATCGTGTATCAGTGTATCGTGCCATTTTTAGCTCGCTGCCCTGGCCTGGCTTTCGGATTGAAAGTGGTTAGCAACTTTAGGCGAGATATGGCGAGATCAATATATGAAATATGCTATATAGTGGTGGACTGCAGTTCAAGCAAGGGTCCATAAACATGCAGCCCGGAAAAGGAGACATGACCTGAGGCACAAAGCAGTTTCTTCCCCATTTTGGCAGAGGCAGTCTATCACTTTGTATGTCCGAGTCCTGTCCGTTCGAGTCCTTTTGCTTTCTCGGTCCGTTGGTCACAATGTGCACCAAGGCGGCTTGGATGAGTTCGGCGAGCAAGTCTGCCTGGGAAGTCCCTACTGGGTGCCCGTAGGGGCGATCGTCATCGCAGGGCCGTTGCCAAATCAGTATTGGCTCCTGCCCACCATGAAGATCTTCCGCGCCTTCGGCTTGGAAGAGGAAACACTTCGGCTCTTTTCACGCTTCAGATCCAGAGCCCATTGGGAAAAGGACGCCACCACCGGAAGAAATGGGTTGCCAGGTGTCAGGCAGGGATCCGGACTGAACATGTACTCTCCACTCCAGCTGTTTATCTATGGCTGACGACACCTGCTGGTTGGGGCATCTCTCTCTCTCTCTGTTCAGGATCAAATCTTCTCTTAAAAGAGACACATGTGTGACTTGTGGCATTGCCGGAACAGTTGTGACTGGTGGCAACTTTATTCAACAATTTCCACTACCCGCTGTCAAGTTCCCACTGATTCCAGCATGTGAAACCATTCCAATACCTGCAAGAAAGGTACACTGATCTTACACCGATCCCTCTCCCATTGATAAACATAAAATAACACACAAGAGTCACAAGAGTCCCTCATCTTCACTCACATCAAACGCGCAGTTCGCACAACACCCGAGGATTTGAATACCTGGGTGTGAACCTGGAAGATGGCGACATGCTGCGCTTGGTCTTGGAATCCCAAAGCTGTTCCGCCTTTACCACTCCGGAGCGCATGTGCTTGCAGCCGAACGAGGATCCCATGAATGGGCACCCCTTGTGCGGTAGCACGCGGTTAACAGCGACGCTGGGATGGATGGGGTGGGAGAGTAATTCAAGCCATTGAATGCCTTCAATGTAGACTCTTGATGAATACACCTCCCCAAGTGGGATTGAACAAGCTCTTCATACATACATATATAATCATATATATATATATTATATTTCTCTCAGGGGTCATAAATCAAGAGTCTACATTAAGGCATGACAATAGCACCACCAAAAGGTTTGGAACTCTTAACACCTTCGTTTTGCGAGTGGAAGATCTGTGTCCGGCCTGGTACATCGAACGTGCAACAGGTCGTTCCTGAAGCCCGGCCTTGCTTCACGTGCTGAAACGGAGCCACCGATGTCTCCTTGGAGTATGTAAAACCACGGTTCTCTCGTTGCAGTATCTAAAACCACAGATCTCCTTGGAGTAGGTCAATCTGGAATATGTAGCCACCTATGGTGTCAATTAATTGATCGAAATCCTTTCGGGTCGCATAAGGAACTCCGGCCTCATGCGCACAACCACGCTAGCCTCTACTCGCATCGCTTGCGACGAGCTGAACGATCCTCAGCTGCAGTGGTCAGCTGAAGAGCTGCGGGGGGGAGGGTACTCCCTGATAGGCTAGGAGAAATCTATGGATCTTTCTTAGTGGCCAAATGCGGCCAACAATGTTTCAAAGCTGGCACTTAGTTCATCCAGTGGCCAAGAAGCAGTTGATGGATTTTCCTTAGGGCCTCCCACCAAAATTTTGTGTTGGCAATTGCACACATAGGCAGACCTTCTTTTGAGACACACCCATATTGTGAGCTGTGACTTCTTCAACTTTGGACACATCATTGAGAAGGAAGGTCCGACATCTGCAGATCCAGTTGAGCTACCAATTGTACCACATCTGCAGATCCATGTTGCACAGTGTTCACTATTTCTCGACGGTTTGGTACAGGACGCCTTTTCTGAGGTCTATCCGGGCGGTACAAAAGACATAACATTGGTATCAGGATTGGGATCAACGACTTTTTAAGTAGGATCAATCAAAAAAGTACTGTTGAAGGAAGGAAGGAAGGGAGGGAGGGAGGGAGGGACAGACGGACGGACGGACGGACGGACGGAAGGAAGGAAAAGAGCAGACTGCTTTCCTTACTCACAGCGTTTCTCTAAAGCCCAGACACACAGACACAGACACACACACACACACAACAGGCTGTGTGCCGCAGTGTTTTTGTGTGCTTCTTCCGGGGGGGGGGGGCAGAACAAAAACAGCCGGCACCTCGCAGTTGAAAGCTGTGAGGTGCCAATTTTGGTGGGTGGGAGCTGTTCTAACTTGAAGCATACATTCTTTCAACCCTGGGTTAGGAAAAGGTACCAGTGGATGAGAGAGGAATAGCAATACTCCCGGATCAAAAAGTAAGGCGCCCGTTGAAAACCCCGGTTCGGGGTACAGCTCATAATTGCTTTTTGATATCACATTCAATAGCCTCTTCTTTTTTGGATCCCCCGGGGGTAACCTATTATGATCCTGAAACTCTTCTTTTTTGATTGCTTTCCCCAGTCTATCGGAGTCTATTGTACATTGTACAGTCTATTCATCATGTTATCCTTTTTGCGAGTGGGAAATGGGCGGATCACCCCAACACCCCCCTCTTCACTTCGTGCCTACTTTAGCCGCCGCCCAGGGGAATTGTCAGTCTGTGCCCTTGAGCTCTGTGGAGACCACCTCCACGGGTTTGCGGCTCACCTTTGCAGGTGCCGTTCGAAGTCGAGAAACGCGATGCCGCGATGCCATTGCTGGGAGAAGATAGAGGGGTATGGTGCCCTTCCACCAAGGTCCGTGAATAGGTCCACGTCCTCCATGGTTATAGACATGTTCAAATGTTTTATCATTGTTTTCCTTTTTGGGCATGACTTTGCGCTTGAGAGGAGGGCTGATTTTTGTGTGGTTCAGGTCGAAAATTGCGAGAAGATCTTGTTGGCTGGTAATGAGAATAGAGATTGTCAGACAATGTAGTAATATATTATACACTCCGTTGTTTTGGTGCGGTTTTGCTTTCGATGATGAGGATTTGCCAGAATCTCTTGCGAGATCTCGCACCAGGATACATGTATACAACAACTCTTTGTTTCAATTCTGTGGCTTTGGGATGGGACGTCCTATTTGACGCGATGGGACGTCCGCTAGGCACATTGCTTCGCCCACTTTGCTGATCATTTTGCTGCTGAAACACGCTGTACCATGAACAATTGCAGCCTGTGCATGAAAGAAACCCTGGTTTGCATTTCTGAATCCATACTGTGCCATGCAGATGATTCTGAATCCATACGGTACTCTTTGGTCGCTCCTGGACCCACAGATGGAGACATTCAGTCCCGAATCGGCGAGGTCGAACGGGGTTTCTCACCAATCCCCATCGGTTTGGAAAGACTAAGGACCGGTGCAGGCGTCCCGTGACACCGAGCGTTGGGGTCAAAGCCATTCTTTTTGGCCGGGTTTTCGTCCGTTCCATCTGCCGTGCGTCGTGCCTCCGGCGGCGGGCCGAGTGTTCGTCGCAGGAAGTACCTCCTCTGGAGGTGGTCTGGGCGAGTTGGGCCTTCGTAGTGGCGATGTGCTGGTGCTGGGCGCTGGCGTTCAGCCCCTTTGTCACGGGGCGCGGGTCCGATGGCAGGACGGTCACTGAAAGGGCGAACGAAAGATGGATCGCCCAGGGGTCGCCCTTAGCTGGAAGACGTTCTTCCTTTGGGTGTGGCCTCTTTGGTCCCTGTCTTTGGTTTGCTCCTTTGGGAAATACATATAATATATATATATATATTATGTAAATATCTATATATAGTGTATATATATATATATATCCGGGTCAACATGGGTAAACACCGTGCTGAAAGGTTCCTTTTTTTGCCTTGAGTGTGTATATACCCTAACCATCATTGGACCTTCCTATGGAGGGTTTGGACCCTGCTTGGAAGGCAGGGGTTCGGACCCTCCAAACCTTCGCCGGCTGAGGGTCCTTGATTCTCAGGGTAGTATCATATTGTGTCACTTTTGCCCACGTCTCCTTCAGCGTCTCTGGTGTGCACTGCCAGTGTGCACTTCGTCACGACCCCCCAAACATCCATCCGTGGAGACGGACACCGGGGCGTGCCGCCCACGAGAAACGCCACGCCTTCGCCACGCTCCGGAAAGTCGGACACCGGTGCGGTTCGAGATCCGAGAATTTAGGCACTTCTCAGCCTCCAACCTAATAGCGTCCGATCGCTCCTAGTAGCGATGCCAGGAGCCCCTAATAGCGAACCTTGCTCCTATAGTAGTAAGGCCAGGAGCCCCTAGTAGCTTCTTGCTCCTGGAGCCCCTAGTAGCGTCCTTCCTCCTGGAACAGAAGTGCAAATCTCTTATCACCTGACAAAGGCCATTCATATTCCTGGAGAAAACGACTGCCTGCCTTACAGCGTTGGTTCGCTTGAAGAACCTATGGGGTCCTCTTCCAACCTAATATGGAGTGGAGAAATCCCTTGAGATACGCCCATGGGGTCGCCCTCTCTGTGTTGTCAGAAATACCTGCCACCTGCCACCTGAGGTGTGGTGCCAACTGCTCTCAGCCCATGTTAGACATGGCCAAAGGCTTCCTAGGCTTTCAAGGCCCGGGAAGTCTGGAAACATGGGCAGTTGAAGGAGTTCTTCTGAGACAGATTATCATCCTGTGACAACATGTCACATGTCTCACACTTTTTTTTGTTCAATGGGGCATCTCCATTCTTTCAATCAAACATCTCCAGTCACTGCTGCGGTTTCCTGCACGGCAACTGTATAGCTCTTTCCATCCAATGTAGAGTAGGAGTCTTATGTTAACTGTCCAATCCCAGCTGTAAGAGTCAGCCATGAATGGTTTCATGATCGATGCTTGTATAAGAATCATAAGAAGATAGTGGGACTTTGTGATTACGTGAAAATTGCTAATTCACATTCACACAAAGCGTGCAAAACTGGGGCCTCCAGCGCGTCCAGTTCTGTGTAAGAGAGCTATGTGTTTAGTGTTCAGTTTTTTGCAGTGCCCGCCAGCGGTGTCCAATTTGGTGCAATCTCGAGACTTGTTGGACACGACTCTATCTTGGGTGGAAGAACTCGCAGAGAGCTCTCAACAGACCACGAAGAAATCACTTTATAGACCTTTAAATGTAGAAGACTGTCGGCTAATCTTTGTGGTTTTGTGTTAACCTTTTTGAGGGATTCTGCACATTTTTCAAGTTTGCTGCAGAAGGCTTTCTTTGCCAAGCCAAAACCACAAAGTTAACCCTTTTAGTGACAACCGAAAAGCAAAGCAAACACAAGAAACCTTTAACACATCTATATGTCCAAATTGAGGTCTTCCGAACCAGCTGGGACGACCAGCTGGCGTGACCAGTTCGAACTGTTGGATCGACCAGTTGTTTCGGTGTGTCGATTCCGAAGGTCTTGAGAGCTATTTGCCCTTGGACGATGGATCTTTGCAGACGGCCCTGGACGTGGTAGGTTCTCGCACGGCGAGCTACATAGGCGACGCGACCAGCTGCCGACCATGGCGATGAGCTGTGCATTTGCACACCATGCTTGGCCACCAAACCCTGAAAGAAACACCTCATGCCCCAAGGACTTTCACATGCTTTCACCAGGGTCACAGGTCGTTGTCCTGCAGGTCCACTAGTTCCATTTTGTTGGACTCTCCAAAGCCAGTTGGCTTGATGGTTGGCCAACCTCTTTTTGCGCGTAGGCTCTGTGGAGAGTATCACGGGAAAGTTCGGCACCGCCACACGCTTCAGTGCTGGATCCTCCCTTAGCCTCGACCTCAGACCCATCAATCTGAAGAGACCGAAGCGGATGAGGCGCAGTGATCAAAAAGAAAGAGGACATCCATGTGCAGATCTGCGAATTTCAAGATGTGCAGATCGCGGGGTGGTCGGTGAGAAAGTGGACTCCGAAGTGTTTTAAAACGGGTCTTCCGCTGAACACATTCTGAACTGCCTTTGTCACATCCCTCAAGAGTACGATGAGAGTCCGGCACCCATGGATCTTGCGCGCCGTCTCGGTGTCTCAGGTCTCCCGGGGGGGCGCTCCTATGGAGGCCTCACAAGCCTGGACGTTGGTGCTTTGGGTCCGGATCGAGCCACTGGATGAGAGGGTTGGGGAGAGCGGGGTGTCCCATTGCTTGGATAACGTATTTTGGATTCGTACATTTTCAGCAGCAAGGGCATGTCTCACATGTACTTCACAAGGGTGGGCCGTGCAGGAACTTGCTTCTGGTAACATAGGTTAATGAGACCCTGTGTATCAATACTGGTTAAGGATAGATCTGCACCCTCCAGTTACGACATTGGACCCGACATTGGACAGTACAAATGGACACGAGTTAACATGTCAAGGTCCAACGGGTCCCAGTCCGGAGGCGTTGTAACACATCCTTAACCATGACCTTCTAAGCGCCGAGCGGGCGCACCGCTGGGCGTCAGCCGCGTCAGCCGGTTCCCAGGAAGGCTGGCTGGTACACGATTTGTGGCGTGGCGGACTCGGACGGTGTGCTGGAGAATGGCGAGGTGGAGATAGGTGGGGTGGGAAGCGGAGAATGCATCGGCTCAGCTACTAATCCGGCTTGTAGGTCAATCTTGATGCTCTCCTTACACGAAATCGGCTGACATTGCTTTTGAGATCGGCTGTTTGGTTCGATGCTGCCCAACCCAGCTTCATCGCCTGCCAGGTTTGGCTTCCGCTCCCTGGGCTGAGGGCGCCCCCTTTTTGCGGCAGGAAGGCGGCCCTGGCGCCGGCGAGCAGGCCATGGCTGGGCGGCGAACGGGGCGAAGACGCAATCCTGGTCGTGGCAGCTTGCAGCTTCTTGTTAGGGTCAAAAGGTTGTCTGCGTGGCATGACGGGACATTTCATCAGTATCCACTGATCTACAGTGCAAACTAAACTTTATGACTTTATGTCAGGCTTTTACAAGAAGAAACCTTATAAACGGACAGAATGTCAAGCTGTAAAAATACACATTTTACGGCGTCCTGGTTTGCCAGTTTGATCCGACCTTTGTGATGGAGATCATGCCTAATGACACTCGTCACTCAGGTCGCTACTGGCATGGAGACTGGGCCCTTCAAGCGCTTTAAGTTGGCCATCGTTAGAGGGTCATGGTACGTCATCTTATGATATCTTATATATATATGTATATGCAGTAAGTTAATTATCACACCTGGAGTGGGAGTCTGGTGAGAGATCACGTTGGACAGCGATCCTTTTTTTCCTTTGCTGCCTCGACATCGTCTCCGTGATCCAGGCCATCACAGGCTCTGCCTCCAGCGGCGTTTGGACGCACGTGGCAGTGGTCTATGGTGGCAGGCGGGGGAGCGCAGGGGAGCGGAGAGCGGAAGGGGCGACGCATCGGTGGAATCCACCAAGCGCAGGTTGACAGATCGGAAGCTAGGAGACCCTAATTTTCGTTTGAGAACTAAGATGTTCAGTTAGCTTTGGTGCGGTGCAAGCCTCCAGGCGCACCGAAGCCTGGCATGAGCGGCTAAGATCTGATCCAAGTGGCCAATAAATCCAGCACACAAACATTCCGACTGACGGAGGACGCACAGAGCCACCGACCTTCCTCATCCCACCATCCCACCATCCCACCGCACGTTGCGCAGCATGAGCGGAACCTTGCGCTTCTACTTGGAGGGTGCCTTAGTTTATGAGCGCCTTGACGTGAATCTGAACCTGGCCTCGCTCCCTCTGCAGTGCGCGGGCCGCGTCTCCGCCTTCGAAGGCCACTCGGGCGAGAAAACTCAATCGACAGCGGGAGTGCTTTCGTGGCCGTTTCTTGCCGTCGATGCTGTCGTTTGAGGCAACGCTTCTGATGGATACATGGACTTGGATGAGATCCGCTGGTACAATGTGCCCTTGAGTTCTGAGGACGGATGTCCTGCCATTGCAGCGCAGCTGGCATGGGGGATCTGTGACAGGTTTTCATGGACTTGCTAGGGCCGAAGTCCCCAAATAGAAAACAACACACCAAGACCATCCACAGAGTGTCCAAGATCCCTTTTATGAAGTAGTGTAGCATAGTCCATTGGACACCCCTTGGATGCTTGGATGGTCCCCACCTTGGTTTTCAGGACGTCGCGGCACTCTTCAACGCTGCGGACGGCGGAGTCTTGGATGCCCAGCAGGCACCTGGTGCACCCATTGGCATCGCGGTGGAGGCGACTGAGGCGAGGCCAACAACGAGAGAGTCTGCAAGAGATGACAGGAGATTGAATTATATTTTGAACATGTTTTCTGAGATTGGACTCGACCAACAGGTAATGATGGTGGTGATGATGGTTTCTGGAACATTTGCAGGTGCATAGGAGATTTGTTCGAGAGTCCAGGCAGTGATTTGGTTGTGAATCGGAATAGGGAGCCCTTCCAACAGCCCCCCTCCCACCACTATTATAATCAATTATATATATAATCTATTATATATATAATCTATTATATACAATCTATTATATATAATCTATTATAGCCTTGGACTCTTCATATTTGCCTCTTCGGATTCTGCAACAGAAATCCTGTTTCTGTCTTGTTTGACACACCCTTCCGCACCCCAAGATCTCTCGCTTCACGTCTCACGTCATCGCCAGAACCCAAGCGTCTTCACCGTGCAGCAGGGCAGCTTTGCCGCCGCCCCGGTGCCACCGCAGTTCATCACCAGCGGCGGCCAGTGGAGGAGAAGCAACCGAGGAGCCGGCGACGGCGAACGTGTGAGCGCCCCAAACGCCTACGTGGTGTAGTTGGTGTCTTCTTGCTATGTTTTTTCCGGTCATGATGCACATATTGCCATATCAGTTGATTTGGGTGCCCTTGGAATTTTCACGTTCTTGGGTATGGTACGGGGGAATTACCCGGTCTGTTTAAACTGTCAGTTTCAGGCAGTTACAGCCCCTCGCCTTGCCGACACAGATGCGAAGTTTGGTCAAAGTTTGGAGGTGAACGCAAGTCCAACGCCTAGTCCTTTCACCAGCATTAAGTACAAGACAGGCATGAAAAAACCATGAAAGCCCCGTGGGCCATCTAATTTGGGCGGTGGAACTCCGAGCTGTTCACGCTTTTGGAATCCGGTTGGCAGGCGTGATCCGCGGGGAGTTGATGAGCAGCATGGAGCGGAGGTTGAAGCTGTGCTGGGAGCGCGGCAATCGCGCGGCGGACGCCGGCATCGTGGAGTTTGTGGCGCAAAGAGTCTCGGTGGGCAGAGCCACCAAAGTCCCCACTTTATATTTTTTTAACACTTACTGCGTACTTTTAAAGGTTCATATGTTCAATGTGGAAGCTGGTTTGATTTGTGCTGGACAAATCCATCCGAATTGTATGTCCATGTCCATGTCTTTCAACATGTTTGGACAGGTTCGAGAAGACTGGAATTGGTCTCCACAATCGCCGTTTGGTGCGTGTTTTTGGCCGTCCCAGCTGAGGCAGTATGACCGAGCTGGGCATTTGGCCGACGCAGCGGGACCGACCGGTGGGACCTTCCGGGTGGGACCTTCCAAAACGGCCATGCGCGGCTTGACATTTTGACGCATCTACCAGGTATACCATGTCCTTTGGAGGGTTGTAACAGTTGTAGCAGGTCTTAATTGGACTTGGCAGTGAGTGAGGGTGCTGGGAATTGGTTCCTCCTGCTACATTCGACACTGGCTGAATGATTCGTATCGTATAGTGCAGCTTTTTGACTGTTGATAATTGCTGATCTGATATTGGTGGGCAGAGAACGCTGCGGGTCTAGGCAGCTCTCAAGCATGTGCTATTCGGATCTCTCAACAGAGTCAAGTACCAACAGAGTCAACTGCCTACATGAACTTGCTAGAGCGAAGCTATTTGTATTTGAGAGTTTCAAACCAAACTGAAATGGATGTGTTTGGGAATGAGGGTACCCCTTCCAACCAAATGGGCAGACTAGTCTATACCAACGGTCCTAGTTCAGCATATCCAAATTGAATCTCTTGACCAATCCATCGCTGTTGACCAACCCGTTGGACGCTATATCTATAATATAGTTATATATATATTATATGAAAATCATTGACCATCCATGAAAAATAAGTTCACCACCTGAACTGCCACACCCATCCCAATCCTCTTGATTGTTTGAACATGATTTAAACATTTGGATGTTTCATCCATTTGCCGGATTTTCCCGCGTACAGTACCGCCCTTCGGAGTTTTGGGGGACGGCGTTTTGCATTTGTTTATTGTGTGTTTCGCGCATGGGGCATCCAACGGGTGGAGCATGTATGTGGATTCAGAGCTCTTCCGAAGTCCGATATAATGGAACCAGCGAGTTGAAGGAAAGTCCATAAATCTCATGTTTCGGGTCATTAAGATCCTTTTTGTGATCTTGGACGATAGAAATACTACCCGACGAGTGTTCCCAAATTCTCTCAGGAGAGACGGGAGATCGGAGTGTTTCTCGGCCAGGAATGGTCCAAGTCGTCTCCTTTCATCCTCACCTTCAAGACAGGAAGCGCTGAAGCAACGCCTGGCATTCGCTACACACAGGCACCACACGTGCCATGGCTGGCTGACTGGCACCGATGCCGGTTTCGCTCTCTCTCCCATGCTTGACGGAACACGACAAGAACAGCGTGGTTCGGCGGAGGTTTCAGCAGTGTGGAGCAGCATAGATGTGCTTCCTGCGAGAGCATCCATTGTAGACCCCAGAAGGTTGGATTTGGGCACCGCATGACGTCGGATTTGACCATGGCCCCAGCAAGTAGTTGACCAAGGTATATATATATAAATATATATACATTATAGCCTTCGTAAGGGTTCTCATCCAAGAAAAAAAAGGGTGAGTACTCCAGTAAGAAAAGGTTTGACTCAATGTTCGAGACAATGTTCCAAGATTGCTTTGAGCACCAAGAGCTTTCAGTTGTAAAATATGTCCACCACATCTCGAATCGCACCTTGGCGATTGACCACCGTGGATTTCGCCAGGCCGAAGGGCACATGAGCCTCTCCATCACCTATCTGAACCAGGTGCTTCGGTGGCCGATCGAACGGCACGCAGGAATTCGGACACCTGGTGCTTCGAGATGGCGGAGTATCGTGTGGATCGAGAAAAGACAGTTCTCATGGTTCTTTTGCTGTACTGTTGCTTCCTACATGCAGAACATGTCCGGAACATGTCCTGAAGCCATGAGTGCAATGGGGTGATGTTCCCTTGACTCACTTCCACAGGCACTTGAACCATCTTGAACCCAGAGCATCGTTGAAGAGAAAACGCCAGGCGGCGATCCGGCACATGGGCAGCAGCGCACAGGGGCCCTTTGTGAGCTCCTTCAACCTTGAGAGTGACGAATGGGACGAGGCGGAGAGTCAAGACGTGAACAGATATGTGTTTGCTGGAATCAGGTGAAGGTAGAGTCAAGATCATCGAACCTGGCTGGTCCAATTACCATTTCAATTTGTGTATACTAACTTGTAGTTCCAAGGATTGGGTTGGTGTTTGAGGCCTTCAGCAGACAACTGAACAAAACTTAACCAGTGGCATATAGACCATGCAGTGTATATTTTCAAGTGTCGCAGGCTGCGCTGTTTGTCCCAATGGAATTTTATGGAATCCCACAAGAACCGACCCTAGACACCTTGGGCCAAGAACCTATAAGAACCTTCCATTCTTCCCTGTGCACCGTCGGGTTTCGCAGCGACCCACGAGAACCGTGTCCGGACTCTGTGCGACGCTGTCTTGATGGGATCGCCAGACACCAGGCCAGCCAGAGCACCTGTGGCATCATCTTCCGGGAGTTGTGGAGCAGCGATCCAGCCACATGCTTTTTTCAGATGCGGCTGTTTTTGGGTGTCGGACGAACGTCCAAAGGGGACAGATTCCGTGTTGCTGAAAATCGGGTCTCCCCCGCCCAAGCAACTCGGTATTGGTTGACGTTCACTCGGTATTGCTTTGATGTGTCCCCGGTTTCAGATGCTTTATACGTGCACATTAGAATTTGTATGTATTCTTTCGATTTCCATCGCAATCACGATGTAGCATGAAGCAGGAGTAGAGCGGTGGAGGAGACTGGAGGAGACGACTGCACAAACAAGTTGCGGGGTGATTAGAGAACGACATAAGTTCAGACGTTCCCATTCTTCCCGAAACAAACGACATAAAGGGCACCTCTTGACATAAAGGCCTCGGACTCGTGGTGGAGAGCCAGCGTGGTCCAGACTCCAGACACAGGCCTTGTAGGTGTTTTAAGTATCTGGTCCAAAGCACCAGAGCATGTGAGACTTCGACACCTTTGAGACCATGATGTATTCACTGTATTCTTTCCGAAGTCGAAGGGCATCGATGTGACTGGCACGTATCGCAGAAGCCGGTTTTTGGGATCATGAAGCCACGCTTCCGGATGTGTCCCAGGCCAGGGGCTTTCCTCTTCCCTTGGGCTGCTTCTATCGCAGCCTCACCACGGACATGTCGGGAAGCCCATGCTGGTCCGTCGTTCCACTGTCTCACTGTCGACCGAACGAACCCCTTTGACCTCCTTTTCAGTAGGAACAGACCAGTTGGGGGTTGGTGGTCCAGAATAGAGGTCATTCAGGCTCTAGGTAGGGAGTTCAACGAATGTCGGGAGCATGGCGGCAACTCGTGCTAGAAGACCGTCTTTTTCAGGGTCTCCACGACTCCACGGTTTGGGGGGCAGGTCTCCAAGAATGAACTACCTGATCTACCTGCCCGGTGGGCTGGGCCTCCCACCCGCCTTCGCCCGCCTTCCCCACCGCATTCGGCGCCCGCCTGCCTACGGAAAGCTGCGCGTGTGGACGGAGCCGCGAGATGGTGAGGCGCGAGATTGTGGTGATCTTTGAGAAACGGAATGGGCTCTCCCCGGACACGTCCGGCTCCCCAAACGTACCATGCCCGGGGACGAAGAGCTCAGCCGGGGTCAGAAGAGCGACCAGAAGCGTTCATATGGTAGGTTTTGGAATCTGGTTTTGGTACTGCTGGATTCTTATGAGGAATACTATAGGGATCCCTATGGATCCCTTTGCTTGACTGCTTGACTGGCTGGAGATTCATGACATAGATCGTATAATATTATTTGCAGAAGCCATGCGAAGAGCAAAAAAATATTGAGACAAAGAAGGAGAAGTGCATGCCCTCCTGTCAATGCGATCAGGATCCTCATGTGACATCCTGTCTCATGACCGCACTGAGGTCATACCAGATTGTGATGAATGCTGCGACCACCAACGAGATGGTGGCGAACCAGGAGGTAGCTCTTTCTTAAACATGGCTTGATGGGAGCGGAAGGATGACCCCACATCATGGCATGATGTGGATGGATGTCAAAGGCAAATTTTGAGGACAAACCTGTGTCATTTGATGTCATTTGCAGGCCTGGGAGATTCGACGACCCTGCCTTGGTCTTCCATGGGGGGATTGTCCCACAGTCTATCCGCCTCAGAATCCTGGCAAAACCCCATGAAGCCCAACTCTGGCTGCAGATGGCTTGCATGCAAGATACCTGCAGGATGTGCCATGTGCCACAGACTGGATGTTTCCAGATTAAACATTTGCCATCCTCCCCTCCCAGCAGCTTCTATCAGCAGCTCGATCGAACTTGTCACAATAGTTCAGCTATGTTCAGCACACTCAGGAACTCCAATAGCCACTTCAATCCCATAGCCACTTCATCTTCCGCTTGAAAAGTCTCCGACGCGCTGAAGCGCCACTCCCCCTCTTTCCCGGTCACACCACGCGCTTTCCCCGCCATGGCGGACGACCACACCTTCACCGAGCTCCTGGGGCTTCTTCAGGCACCGAGCTCAAGCAGAAGCCATGAGTGCCATGAGTGGTCAGGATGAAGGGGGTGAAGAAAGATGGAGGGGGTCCTATATGGTCCGGATTACCTCAAAGCCACCGAAGCTTCCTCGTGAGTCCACTCGCTCTCCTCTCGCTCTCGCTCGAAATCGGAACCGACCGCCCCACCGACCCCACCGACCGCCTCGCCGCCGTGTCGCCCTCGACCGCCGAAGGACCAGAAACCCGAAGTGCGACGCTTCGCCGCCGAGACCGTGCTCAGTCAGACCGAGGCGCGCGCGTGACATGGAGGTGTAGGTCGATTGGTGCGGAGCGTTTGAAAGGTTTGACGGTTTGACCATGTTTGACCTGTAGGGGCCCACAGGTGTTGGTCCATCTTAGGGGCATGAAACTGAACATGCCTGAAAATGCATGAGATGATATGACATGCACGGTATTCCTATTTTGGAGCCATGGGCGAAAGAGCTGGGTTGGCCAACGTCGCTTGTTCTGCTCACAAAGATGAGAATTGGGTGTACACCCTCCCAAGCCAGTATTGCCCCTCGTATGTTTTGCCACCGATTTGTTCAATACAACCTATTCCGGTTTGATGATTTGCGCTGCTCGGGAGTCTTTGGGTTGCTAGCTCTTGTGGAGAGCGTCACGTGTACAATTCCCTGAGCAAGCTGTGCTCACAGCCTTTAACCCTACTGGCACATTCGATGTTCACATTTCAATGCCAGATCCCTCGAGCAGACTTCCGGCCACCCACCATCCATCCGCACGTCGCAAGCGCGGCTTCCACCCCCGGACGTTCCACAAGATCGAGACGTCGGTCGGGCCGACTGCTGCATCAACGCCCAGATCGGGCAGACCTTCGTGAAGCACCGAAAAAGACACCTAGTTCACCTGGGAGTTCCAACGCTTGACAGCCTTTGGATGCTACCGATATCTACCGATCGTCAGATTTTGAAGGGGTGCTTCGTCTCCCCATCTCTCTCCCTCTCCCTCTCTCTCTCTCTCTATGGTGAGAAGGTGATTGAAGACACTGTCATGTAGGTTTTGGAGGGTGTAGTCATATCGAACCTGAAAAGGTCATTGATCCGTATAGGGTCCATCCAGCGCGGAGGACCCCGACTTCCTGGACTTCTGCAAGCGGGAACCGCGGAGGTGCGCTCGCCCGCTGCTGCGCCTGGCGGAGAAGGCCGAGCAGGACAGTGCGGAAGCTGCGGCAGCGGCCGGGGGCTACAGCAGCGGACAAGAGATGCTGGGATTTGAAGCATTGTGGAGTAAAAAGTATGATGGACGATGCTATTTGCAGTTCCAAAGAGGTGGTTTTAGTCTCCAAGTGAGTGGTAAAACATAAAGAAGCCCTTCCCTCCAACAGGCACCTTCCTGGAACTGCTGGTACAGTTGCATGTCAAACAGAAGACCCAGAAAACCAGTTAAAACTTGTTTTGTACCCAAAACGTCTCTGATGCGTGAGTTCTTGTTTAGTCACTGATCAGTGTGGGGAGCCTGCATTCCCTTTTGTTCTTGCGTACCGTCCATGAAAATTCCCCGAACGACTCAAAATGATGATGGGTATGACAGAAGGTGAGACCATCCGACGGATATGACAGAAGGTGAGACCACCCGTGGATGAAACAATCCCAGGAAGAGTGAGAAAGTGGCGGCCATCCAGGCCGCCTCGAACCTCGCCGCTGGCGTCCATGCGCTGAAGTGCTTGGTGAACCTCTCGGCAGTGCCGGCGGTCGCCGAGGACAGCGAAGCGCGGGTACCGGGCAGTCGCCCAGTGAGGGTCGCCCGGGATTGATGTGGGCCTTGGAGAAATCAGATTGAAGACATCGGGTGGAATGGATGTATACGATCAAGATGAATCAAATGGCTCATCGTGCTGTACTAGATGTGTGAAGATTTGCAGTTGTAAGATAGTGCAAGAAATCAACAGCACATGTACAGACATCTAACATCCCTTGGAACTCCATTGCTTCAGGAGCTGGTCTCCTTGAACGCGCCAAAGCGGCTGACTGAAGCCTTACGTGCAGGGTGGTTGGAGGGACGAGCACAGATGGCCCACTGGTACTCCATGCTCTTGGCCAATGTCTCCACCTGCAAGAAGGGTCAGGCACCGCGCTGGTTCAGTCAAGCCTTGTGGCTAAGTAGGTGGACCATGTTGGACTGATTGTCAGCTCTTCAAAGCCTTCAAACCAAACAGGAGTAGGGAGGCGGAGGTCCCTGATTTCGCATCATGAACCAGCTGAGTTTGAGGTCCCTGATTTCTCAAACTTGGCTTTCACATGCCCCAAACAAACTTTGCTGGAGATGGATCAAACACAACCACATTTTAACGGTTGTTTCATGTTGTTTCCCTAAACAGGCATTTCATGTCAATAATATAAGCTTCTATAGCACCATAGTTGCAATAGCCATCATTTTATGTCATCTTAAAGTTGTTGCTTGAGGCTCCAGGGATAAATCAACAAAACAGATTGACTTCAACCTTCTTATCTTTGCCCGCAGGAGGCACTCTGCGCGGACGAGGGCATGTTGAAGTTTCTCGTGGCCGCCTATCTCACGACACCTCGATTGCCCGCACGCGATGGCTATGAGGACCGAGTTCTCGGCCGTGGAAGGGAGAAGGAGTAAGTGAAAATACCAGGAGGTCCAAGGGGTGGTGTCCATTCTCCACTCATGGATTTCCGGGGTCGCGCTGCACCACCGAGAAACATGGAACGTTCCCCTCTTTCTGTCTGTGCAGAGATGAGTCACACCAGACATTACACTCGTATAATACACGAAATTACACGAATACACGTCCCGCCTGCCAGCAGAGTTCACTTCGCATGTGGCACATGACGTCCAAGTCGTCCTGAAAGAGAACATGAGTCGAAACAAGTTGAGATATGATGAGACGACCAGAGGTCCGGCTGAGATCATGTAGCTACACCCCCCTCAAAAGTTTTCTGTGATTTGTTTCTCTTCAAAGACGGGCTGCCCGTTGTATCCACCGTTCATGTGGCGAGTTGCAAAGTAGCTCCCAGACTCCCAGTGGTGACAGAGACGGACACCTTTTGGACAAGAAGCACTTCAGGGCCGAAACTTCAAGAGTTGCTTCCACATGATAGCCATTTACAGATGCATTTCTGTACACTGAGCCCTTGCACCAAAAAAAACACCTGGAAAATGCTGGAACTACGGCCTGCGGTTTGGACCGTTTTTGACCGTAGTGAGTCTATTCGCAGCTGAGATGCAGGATCCTTTGCTCTGGCTTGGTGCCGTCTTGGTGAATGTCCTGGTGCTGCCCGAAGGCCGCAAGCTCTTGGCCATCGGGAAGAGCCAGGCGAGTGCCGCGGGGACCCTCCATGCGCGGAGAATCGGCAGCCATTCCGTGTGCAGCAAAGCGGATAGTCCAATCAAGTCATTGGTTGCAGTAGATAGAAAATGGGCAACCCACAAGGACATGTAGGAAAACGGACATGGTTGTTGTCTTCCAGATCAAATTCTATCTACTCCATGTCCATTCTTGGCAGACAGGCATGTTGCATAGGGACAATGGGGACCCCTAACAAGGGGTTCTTATCGACACTTGACAGTGCTAGCGTCTCGCCGGTGAGGTCCCGATTCGAGAGCTGAGTGAGACAGACCAATAGAGTTTTCACAAACTAGCAGCGCACAAAGGTGAGTTTTCTTCGTCATTATGATGCCAGGCTTGGCAGAGTGTTGAAATGAGGGTTTTTCTTGACGTGGTCTAGAAATAGGTGGACATAGCCAAACTGTACCTGTACCTCTCAAAAGGTTCACCTTAGTTCAGTAGTTCAGTCCAGACGCCCATCAGGAAGCCTTTCCGATTTCTTGAGATGTTTGCCCTTTTCTCAAGGTGCATCGCTACTAGTTACTACTCGTAGTAGCAAGGACGCTACTAGTAGCTCCTGGCATCGCTACTATAGTAACAAAGGGCATCGCTGCTAGGAGCAAGAAGCTACTAGGAACAAAGGGCATCGCTACTAGTAGCAAGAACGCTACTAGCAGCTCCTGGCATTACTACTAGGAGCAAGGACGCTACTAAGAACAAAGGGGTCCATTCTTGAGATTTCAGGAGTTGGAGATGCTCTTCGGTGAGATGTCCGACCGGAGCCGGCGCGCGGACATGGTGAATGCCGCCAAGAATGTATGTTTAGACATGGCCACTGGGATGCCACGTAGGTCTGTCAGCATCCTGAAGGTAGGTCCATGATGGCCAGTACTATATATATATATATTATATCTTATTGGTAGGTATATCAGTAGCTCTGTCACATGGTTTTCGGTGTTTACTAAATTGGGGGTAAGGATTAGAAGGACAAAGGAACTTTTGTGAACGATATGGGTTTGACCGGGGTGACCTTCCAAACAAGAAGGGTGGTGATTTTTGGGAGGACACATGGCCTATGAAGAATGAAATGCACATCAAAGTCAGCCAACATCGATCCGTTGCAATGTAAGCTTGAGGAGGGTAAGCACATCATGAATCATGAATATGTAGATTTGCAACTGATGGTGCTCTTCCAACAATGACTTCAAAGTCATTGGCCAATAACTCAGACCATCCCAAGACCAATCGAAGGTGGGTATCTCATATATCCAGACACTGAACCCAGGGACAACACCGATTGTTGCTATTGAAGTGTTATACATGTTCTGTTGCCATTGTGCCACCAGATGGTATATCCATCTACTCCCAACATCAAATATCCATTAGCTACCACGGAGCTGGGTAGCCATCCCTTTCATCATTTTGCGCAGTATGTCAGTCAGTGGCATGCAAGCCATTTCCTCCCCGTCTTGCCTGTTGCCTTGTGACTTCTACGGCGTTCAGTACCCAATACTGTATACACACTGCCGATGGTGTTTGTTTAGGTACCTGTAACTCACTTTTTGCTCAAGCAGCTCCCCAAGCGGTCGGAAACCGGCATATCTCCGTTTCAGTCATCTCTGAGGACTGCCATGAGGCGCTCGTAGCTACTGACCTGATGCTACATATGGCAAGGCGGGGGGGTCGTTGTGGAATCAGCTTGTGTGATCAGTGTGATCCACCATTCTTTACGACAGGGCATCGCCATTTTTCTCCTCCAAGGTGTCATATGAAGCTGCGGGCAGGGAGTCTATGTCATCCCGGAAACCATGGAATGGAAGGGTGATGACGTGGTGCCGACATTTTTTTGCAAAACACATCTTTCGCTTGAATCCTTGGTCAAGTTGTGGACAAGGTAAGCAGCGCAAACCCAGGCGCCTTCCTGGGTTTGCCAGGACTGGGACACGGGAGAGTTGGCGACCTGTCTCCAGATGTTTTCCTGGCACCATTACTGTAATTACCAAGGAAGGAGCTCCTAGATGACTGTGGTCACGACACATAAATTCCTGTTGGCATCGCCCACGAAACAGCCCCTCCTGATGGAAGGGGTTGCTGGATGAGTCTTGATGTTTTGGGGCTCCAGGTTTCATCTCCTTTTGGAGGTTCATCTTTGGGGATGTCGGGTTGCAGCTGCAACCACCTGCGCCGGTAGAGGTTCCTTTGTCCTTGGGACACCATGGACACGGAGCATCGCTCCGCTCTGCCGAGCGTTTTGCGCGAGTCTTTGGAGAAGGAGGGTGCAGCCCTCACAGGCGCGGGGCGGAGGAAGAATATCCATATGGGCTTATGGGCATGTATAGAATTCCTGGTTTGCAGTTTGGTTCCTCAATTTGGGTCTCTTTGGCGCCCAAGACATGTTTGGGTCCATGCGTTTGCACTGGGGGGCATGTGTTTGCTTTTAGGCTGTCTTTAGTTGGCTGTGACTTCTCGGGGTGCCTCCGCGCAACATGCCAGGGGTGGATGAGGGTCACAGCCCACACGCGCAGTTTTCCAGGCTTCCATTTGGCAGCAAAGCAAGCGCGAGGGTGCTGAATATGTTTGCTTTGGTACTCAAACCTGCGCCTTGTTTACCTCAACCACCGTACTTGTAGCGTCTCTGTAGTTTCGTCCTCGCTAAACTTCTCTCGGTGAGACGTCCTTGCCTTTGGGCTTGGCGGCGGGCTAGTTTAAAGCGTTTCTCACTGTATGTTTGAGCTTGCGGTTCTGTTTTTGAATGTGCTTTGTGCCTTTGAAGCGTGTAAACTTATGACGAAACAGTCCTTGATGCGCATTAGCGGTTTTGCTTTTGTGAGTTCCACAAAAGAGCAGCAAACAGTGTTTCATTTTTGGTGGTGTCACCAAACACACAATGTCAAGCAAACTTTTGTAGGCCGTCCGTGCTTGCTGCACACAACTCTTTTAAGTTTCTGTTGCCAAGCAAAAGGCTCAATCCAACAGAGGCACTAGTAAAGAAGTGAAAGAAAACCCAGACCTATTCGTGCTTCTGCAGGCCAGGAACAAACACAGCAACCAACAGGACCACTCAACAGCAAGTCTTCCCCACACGCAAACGCAACAGAAGCTCAGATGTTTTTGTAATAGACGCTTCGAGCGCCATGACTAGTTCTTGCAGCTGGGTCTTTATAAGCTGTCAAGAGGATTGGGTCTCTGAACGTTCGGATCGATGGCATTTAGCATTTTGCAAGGCCAGGATGACTCCATTTCAATCAGAAAGTTTTTGCAGAAGACAAGCGGAGCATTCGACTCTTCGTGACTCTTTTGAAAGCGTTGCTACAGAGAATAGGCCTTGGTTTGTCCGCTGCATTGCCTTGGTGAGCCCGGACCTCCCATTTCAAGATGACCTTTCGCCAGGTTGGTCAGATGGGGCCATGAAACTCAAAGAAGTGATGTTTGGGGGGCAACAAGACGCTTTCGCTTTGAAAGTGCACAAAGTTTTTTGCATTCCACCCTGGGAGAACAAGCCATGTTTAAAACATGTAGCTTTCCCCCGCAGACACGCCAAACGATCCAAGCAAGAACGTTGGAGTGAAGCCTGGGTTGGGTCTGAGAACCGTAGCCACAAGAAAGCTTTAGTGTATCGAATTCTTGGATGGGAGCTTCAAGGTGTGGAAGCCTCGCACGATGCAGTAGCATCGCTCTATGTTTACAGGCCTCTGCGCCAGGAACTCGGGTTCCAGATGTTGCAGGATGCTGTTGCTGCAGAGCCGGTCCCAGTAGAAAACCTGAAGGGTTTGCCTGTGTTGTGCTTGCCATCGCCTCTGGCGTTTGCAGTTTCGTGCGGTTTGTGTGACCAAGTGCCCATGCTAGCCCGGTGGACGCATCCTTTTTTTCCCAACATTGTCAGAAGGGTTGCCTCAAGCTTGGCTGAATTCTCTTTCTGAGCTTGTTTTAGGGGCTGGAAGCTTTGTTGCCGAAGAGAAGCTCCTGTCTTACTCAGCTGGGGAAAAACTGTTGGCATATCTGAGGAAAATGGGCTCTCAGGTCCTCGCCAGTGTGCTGGATGAGGACATTGCGTCAGGCATACGGGCAGAAGTCATTGAGCACCTGCAAGCCTTAAAAAACCATTTGTACGCATTGGAGGTTGCCAAAGCCCCACAAGTCAAGAACCTCGCTTGTTTGAAGTTTCCTTCAGACTCCTTTGTTCAGCAAATTCTTGCCAGCCTGGATTTGCGCAATAGAGCAAAACTCCAACAGCATGCTACAAGATTCGTGCAAATGCTGCCCGAAGCATTGAAACCATACCTTCAAGCTTGGACCTCAACCAAGATTGCCAGCGGAACAACACTCCACAGAGGGCAGTTAATGTTGGATGTCGGCTTAGAATTGTTCCACCGCGAGCGGCTTCTCGATGCAGGGAAAGTTTACAAGTATGCCTGGGGAGATTCTACAGACAAATGGGGTTTGGAGATTTACAACGCCCGTTACAAATGGGTGAAACAGTCTGATTGTGTGCACCTTGCTAGAGCTTTTCGCTTTCTGTGCGCTCATCCATTTGAAGAGGATATGAGCGTGGATGTGTTGGAAAAACGACGGGAGTGTTCAACGAGGCTGTTCCAATCAATCCACCTCCACACTCTCACTCCGCAGCTTTTAGGTGACAAGAAAACAAGTCTGGTTGACAAAGTGTCAGCCCACGTCCATGCAAGTGCTTTGGAAAGCCTTAACCTCGAAGGCCTGGATGAAAACTTTTCCAGTCATGTTGCATGGTGTAGCGACCAAGGTGTGGAGGCGGGCCTGCCTAACTTCCACGTGATGCATTCAGAAAAGGTTTCGCCGCTGTGGCTGCAGCAAGCGAGGGTTGATGCGCAAACTGAAAGTGATTTTTATGAAGAAGGTGCAAACTTCGAGCCGGAAGCCGATTGCAAAAAGCCTACCCCCCTTATGCCTAACGCAGTCCAAATCCCTGGAGTTTGCCACGCTGCGCACAACTCAACTTTGGGGCTGGATGCTGCTTTCAAAGGTTTTAGCGAATTCTTGGACCAGTTGAAACGCCTTTACTCCTTTCTGGGCAACCGTTTGAGATGCGAACGTTTTGTTGAGGTGGTCATGCGGGGGTCCCTTCATTATGAACACGCCAAAAAACTGTTCTCGAGAAGCTTGACGTCCATATACACAGAGCGGTGGAATGTTCTTGCAATTTGTTTGGAAGAGTCCTTACCCCTTTTCCTCTTCCTTCGCGCTCATTGGGATGAGGCTCGATTTGCAGACAAGGTTGACCCTGACCCTTCGGCCAAAGACGGATGGGCGCCGAAGAATGTCACAAACATCCTTAGGGACAATTATTTCCTATCCTTTTGGCGGATGCAATTGAGTTTGCGAACATGCTTGCTTGATTTCCAGTCATGGGCTGAAGGTTGCAGTTGCCATGGTGGCATGGCCTTTGGTGACAACACAGCTCTTGCCAGCAAACCAGTTTGGAAGCTTGAGCAACTGCTCCAGTCTGAAATCGAATGCCCGTGTGATGTTGCTTGTCGTTGCCCGATGGCTGGATGCCAGGCCCCCTTTTTCGCTTCCAATTGTTTGTTGAGCTTGGAGAATTTTCTCAACAAAAGAAGTGCTGATTTTCTTGTTGATTGCGAAGAGCGCTTGAGCACAGAGGAGTGGTCAAATTTGCTGTCAGAGTGGCAGCATGGAACATCTGTTCTGCTTGAGCAGCTGCGTGCCAGGCTCGACTTCTTTTCGCACCTACCTTGGATTCTCTTTGCAGGGGCTCATCCTGTGCCTTCCATGGCCAGGCAAGGTCTTCGGCGCGCTGAAGAATTGTGGAAGGCTTTGCCTCCTGATGTGAAAGTGCAGCAGCATGTTCATGTGCAAAATCTGTTTGGTGGTCATGACAGTGTCTTGAATGCAGAGTTTGACGCCTTTCTTGCTTCAGACAAGGCCCTGGAAGAGTACCCTCGCTTGGAAGAGTTCTTGGCGCCGTTTACTTTTGTCCAGGTGGCTGAAAGGTTGATTGAAGCTGCTCACAAGGATTTAGGCCAAACTAGGCCCAAGAACTTTAGCATGACCACCTTGTCTCTGAACATGCGAATGCCTGAAGTACACAAAGTTCTTTCCATGGAACATGCAGCTTTTTCACATCTGGTTGAATCATTTAGCAACGCTCGTCGACTTCGACAGTTTGGCGACATGTTTCCATGCCATCGCAATCACCCAGACCTGATTCAGTTGAGTAGGTGCAGGGCCAGCGATAAACATGCTGCGTTTGTAAGACAAGTGCTGTACAGGGACCTGCGTATGCAATATTCAGAAAACCAAGAAGCAGTTGCTGTTCACGAGAAGGAGGCCAAAGAGTTAGAGCGTGCTCGCGCCAAGCACAACGGCAAATCTCCAAAGGTGACAGAAGAGTTGCTGGTTGCTGGCTTAGCTTGCGATTGCATTCGGAACCTTGCTTGGGAAACACCAGGCACCGTTTTTTCGCTAAAGGAGCCAGGCAGTGACTTAGACGGGAAGGTTAAGCTTTTTTCTCCAGTCCTTTTGCAGCCTTCCCTGTTGAAGCAGCCATCGCATGCCCCAGGGACCCTGAAAGGTTATCAGCGCAATGATGTTGTTGTGACAGTGTTCGCAAACCAAGGCACTGCCCAAGCACCGATTGTGTCCGCCATTGTTCTTGGCAAGACAGAAACTCTGTCCTTGAATCTGCTTGTGCAATCTTTGGGCGTTGATGTTTTCCTTGGAGGCCTCAGCTGTTGGACCAAGAGCGGTGAAGTGAAATATGTCTTGCCACTCATGGGCGGTAAAGTCTCAAATGTTTTGCGCAAAATGGTTGAGTGCGGCGCCTTGCCGCAAGCTTCCACAAGCTTTGTGCCTTGTCAAAGTGACTCGTTTGCCATCGAGATTCTCGATACTCATGGCTTTGTTGTTGAGAGAGGTGGTGGCTACGGCCTGACTGAAGTTGCGCTAAGGCGCATGGATTTTTTGAGGTCGCTGTCATCGCCTCATTGCCTTGCTTCATCAGAGGGCTTGTCTCTGGCTGACATGTCAGAGTTGCAGCTGCTCATGCGAATGCGTTCTGAAGGTTGGCGTTGGTCACTCAAGCCAGCAAAAAAGCAGCGAGAGTTGGCTTTTGTTGTTGGACAGGAGCGTGTTTGGTTCACTGCTGGAGTGACTGTCTCCCGTTGGTACATGATGTGCTTGCTTGATGCTGAGAGATTGAAGCGCAACGGTGTGTGTGAACTTCCGCATGGGTTGCCCAGTGAAGCTTATGAGTTGATTTTGGCGGCGCTCTTCCCTCCGAAGCTGTTCGGACATG